TTTTTTTTTTTTTGTATTATGTTTAGAACCCTAGTGTTTAGTTTTGGTTTATAGCACATACCAGTTCAAAGACCCATGTGTTGTTAATGGTTACTTCTCGGTCTAAGAGCTTCAGAGCATATAGTACTCCACCAGCCCTACTGTGACGCAGGAAGACACAGGGAAGGCCATGGTGCATTTGTCTGTCTCTGGTTACTACTTGTGGTTATCTATTCCAGGTCATCAGTGAGCTAAATGGAAAAAACATTGAAGATGTCATTGCCCAAGGTGAGTTCATTTGGAGAGGGTGTTCATTATCATGGTCCATCCTAATTCCTGCTGGCCCCCAGTGGCTTGCCAGGTTTCGCTTGTGGACTAGAGCATCCTAGAAGCTTCACCCAAAGAGTGAGCAGGGATTCAGTTGGCTCATGTCATTGTGCTTCTAGACACTCTCAGGAGGAGGAAGTGCCTTGTGTTCTCACTGGACTTGCCTTTGGCTCCAGCTCTTAGGCCTGACGGTTCTTGTCCCTTGGCCCTTTCCTCAGGATTTCTCTGAAGCTTGGTATCTAGCCAACTTAGCATTTATCATCAATTCTCATCATGTGCTTTCTGTGGAAGCATTGGACTAAGGGTGCCAGAAATGGCCACAAGCTCATTTGTTAGGTACATGGTTTTCTCTTGACATCAGGCTGGAGCTGATGGGACTTGTTTGGAAGTTGAGCTATTTGGCACAGCTTCCCTGTCCCTGTGCACATGACCTGGCAAGGCCAACTCAGCAATCAGTCCTGTCCATGAGCTCATCACTGGGGCCAGAGATCTGGGTGCTGGCAGCAGATTGGTCCCTGTCCAATTACAAACATGTTTGTCTTCATTTATCTTTGGGACAAAGGGGCCTGATTGTAGATAGGAAAATTTCCTTGGTTGGATAGGGTAGGGTTGGGTTATAGAGAAGTGTCTGGCAGTATCAAAGAGTGTCTGGGTATGTGGGTGGGGCTGTAATCCTGAGTTCTGGAGGGCAGGGCACTGTAACATGGGGTCCCCATATGTTCCATTCATTGTGCTGTGTTTGGCGTGGTCTGGTTTCTCCAGTCTCTAGAGCCCCATGGAGCAACCTTCTGACCTGGGCTCTTGCTCTGTCTCACTTTTCCTGTGCTTTATGTAGGTATTGGTAAGCTTGCCAGTGTACCTGCTGGTGGGGCTGTGGCTGTCTCTGCTGCCCCAGGTGCTGTAGTTCCTGCTGCTGGTTCCGCCCCTGCTGCAGGTGAGTGGAGGCCTATGAATGGGAAGAGGCTTGAGGCTCAGACCAGATCTCTGCTGTGGGTGTCCACTGTGAGTCTAGGCCTGGTACTCAAGTGCTGTGGGCTCTTGAGTCACTGTGCTCTTTGCTTTTCTACAGCAGAGGAAAAGAAAGATGAGAAGAAAGAGGAGTCTGAAGAATCAGATGACGACATGGGATTTGGCCTATTTGATTAAATTATCATTTCCCTGCAAATAAAGCTTCCTTTTTATGTATCTCTTAGTGTACTGAGGGCTTCTTCAGAGCCTGGCCTCTGTTCCTACCACAGCCCAGGCTCCCTCATGGGGCAGAGTATAGCAGCAGGGTAGGAGTGTCTGGGTGATCTCGAGGGCTGGTGGCCTCTGGGTTTTACAGATGAAGGCAGCTCTTGAGCCTGGGTTGGGGGTGTCCCTGGGTTTCTTGCAGGGGTCATAGTTCCATCTTCACGCCCTGGATTATGTAGGCAGTCACCTGCTGTCTGTGGGCCAGCCCTGTTTATGAGGCAGGTGTGAACAGGCTGGTGGGCCATGTGCTAAGTCCTGGGCTGCTGGCTGTGGCCTGAAATGAGCAAAAGGCACAGGCCTGCTACCCTCCACCCCCTGCTCACCAGTGCAGTTCCCCAGGAGATAGATGCTCTGCCACTTTCTCCCCTTGCTCAGCAACCCATCAGTTGGCTGTGGTGTGAGGCAGGCCTACTGTGTACCAGGCCCTATAGGTACTAGGGGCCTGCCTTAGTTGTGGGGAGATGGTACAATGATAACACTGAAGATAGCTGGGATGCCAGGATGGCAGCCAACCTCAAGTGATAGCCAAGACGTGAAGGGCAGGGGCCCTGGAGTCCCAAAATGAGGGGCATCTGGACTGTGGTTTTAAAAGTCCCCTGTGGGACTGGACCCAATGGCTCAGATCTGTAATGCTAGCACTGTAATCTCAGCATGCTGGGAGGAGGACTGCTTGAGCTCAGGAGTGCGAGACCAACCCTAATAGAAAGTAGAAAAAACTAGCTGGTTGTTTTGGTAGGTGCCTGTAGTTCCTCCTACTCAGGAGGATCGCTTGAGCCCAGGAGTTTGAGGTTGCCATGAGCTGTGGTGCCATGACATTACCAAGGACACAGAGTGAGATTATCTCAAAAAAAAGTCCCTTCTGGACCAGGCTTGGTGGCTTATGTTTGTAATCCTAACACTGTAGAAGGTTGAGGCAGGAGGATCACTTGAGCCTAGGAAGCCCAGATGTTTTGAGTTTGCAATGGGCTATGATGATGCCCCTGTACTCAGCCCGCACTTCAGAGCTATGGCATAAGACCGTATCTCAAAAAGTAGGTAGGGAAGGCACCTCACATCTGTAATCCCAGAACTCTGGGAGGCTGAAGCAGAAGAATTCCTTTGAGTCAGGAGTTCAAGACCAGCCTGAGCAACACCAACACCCCTGTCTCTACTAAAAGTAGAAAAACTACCCAGGCTTCGAGGGTGGCACAGAGAAGTGCTTGAACACAGGACTTTGAGGTTGCTGTGAGCTATGATGTGGCAGCACTCTAGCCTGGGCAACAGAGTGAGACTCAAAAAAAAAAAAAAGAATAGCCCCAGCCCCCTCTGGTTGCCCACAGGACCACAGACCAAGGTTGGGAGGAAAGCCAGGTTAAAGTGTGGAAGAGGCTGGAACTAGGGTGTGTTTCTGGGAAGCTGCTGGAGGAGGAGAAAAGAAAAGGCTAAGACAGGGGCCACATCTCTGGGTAGGGTAAACAGTGTATGTGGCCAGAGTGGGAGTAGCATGGAGGGAGGGCAGGGTGTGGACACCCTAGGCTTGAGGAGAGCCCTGGGAGGAGTGGACCCAGGCTTCAGGGTGAGAGTTTACAGTTCTGGCCTGGGACCCTAAATAGAGGGGACCCGACATTTCAGTGGTGGTGGTGGTGGGCGTTCTCATTGGGTGCTCATGCTGCTGGGGGAGATGTGGCCCCAGCCAGGATTCCCAGAAGGATAACTTTGTTCCTGGCACCCCAGCCTCCCAAAGTCCCAGGGGCCTAGCAGAGGAATATATACCCAAGACAGCTGTGGAAATGGGGACAGAGGTCTCTCTGCACTGGGGCCATGCCACCAGCCAAAGCTCAACAGTCTCTCGATGAGGGCAGGGCCTGGACCCTGGGCCCTTCCTGGGCCTCTCCTTTGAGCAGCTTTTTGAGTCCCTGGCTTCTTCCTCAGTGGTCACCCTGATGAGTCCCTGGACTTCCCAGCTGACCTAGTGGTCTGCCCATCCCTACTGTACAGCACCCAAGTGTCTACTTGGTGTCTCCTCATGCCCCAATCTTACTAATCCTTCCACACCATCCCCCTTTTTTCCCCCTATGAATTTGCTGTGCTGTCCCTCTAACCAGAACGTTTGGAGGATGTCTCATGTGCACAGAGGAGTCTAAATCAAATTCAGTCATATCCTCCCTGCTCCACTCTGTCTCACTGACCTGGCCCCAGCTCCCCTCCCTTGCCTGGGCAGCCCTATGACCATGTCAGAGCTCAACTCAGTGCACCTCTCCAGGGAAGGTTCCCCCCCACTGAATTTCTGAGTTGCTCACATATCCTGTTGCCTTCTCTGCATTTTGAGCTTCTATAGACAATGCCTGACTACCTGCTCCCAGAAGGCCCAGATCTGGGTTACCTTCCTCCATTCTCTGTAGGATGGTGGGGGAGCACAGAGGCGGAGGACTGGATAGCATGGCCCTCTCCTGGAGAGGCCTTGCTCTGAGTCTGGGTGTGGGCAGCCCCAAGCCTTAGCCTGGACCCTTTGCTGTGGCCAGAGCTGACCTCCCGCGTGGGGAGTGAGTGTTCTTGGAAGGACAGGGGCACACTGCCCCTGTTTTAGAGGGTGAGGTAAGGCGTGGGGCTAGATCCTGGATCGAACCTGACCTCCACAGTCCAGGAGTAAAATGCGGAAAAGGGAAGGGAGGGTGAGGTCATCTGGAGCGCTCCACCTCCAAGAAAAGACGGGTGAGTTGGGCCCAGATAGACCCGCAGCCAGAGGGGCCAGGGTCGGACCCAGGTACAGGCCCAGGTGAGAGGTGGAGGTGCTGAAGGGTGGAGGGGTGGGAGTGGAGCTGGCACCCAGAGGCCAGGGGCATGGGTGGGTGGAGACAGAGTCTCCTGGGAAGAGTTTTAGGACTGACATCCGGCCTTGGATGTTTATAAGTCAGAGTTGCCGGGTGTATCGGCGGGTCCTGGGGGCCTGAGACCTGTGTGGCTACTTTTGGGTCCTGGTCGGTGCGGTTGGTGAGCACCTGCTCAGGGGCAAGCTCCATAGTGCCCCAGGCAGCCTGTGGTAGGCAGATCCCGGAAGGAGTCGGCAGTGGCTGTCCCGAAACTAGGGCCCTCCCCTCGCGAGTGCCCATATTTGTCCAAGCCTCCCCAGGCTCTGGCTCTCCCCACACCCCTAGGCAACCGTGTCCCCCTGCAGCCGCCTGCGATAGCAGAGAGAAGGGTAGCAAGGGAACGCCAGGGCCCGGGGCGGCGGAGCTGCAGGTGTCGCGGTGCTAAGCCGGAGGGTGCCGGGGGCGGGGCCCCAGGGGCGCGGCCGTTCCCCGCGCGCCCTGATTGGCTCTCGTGGGCCGGCTCCGCCCCGCCCCGCCGCTTGCCCCACTCTAAAAGCGCCACCTTCGCCACCGCCCCGCGTAGCGTCTCCGCCCCGCCGGCGGCGACTCAGAGCTAGAGCGACAGCAGGACCGGCCGTCCGCGGAACCTGGAGCCCGGCGGGCCGCCACCGCGATGTTCCCCCGAGAGACGACGTGGAACATCTCGTTCGCGGGCTGCGGCTTCCTCGGCGTGTACCACATCGGTGTGGCCTCCTGCCTCCGCGAGCATGCGCCCTTCCTAGTGGCCAACGCCACGCATATCTACGGCGCCTCGGCCGGGGCGCTTACAGCCACGGCGCTGGTCACCGGGGCCTGCCTGGGTGAGTGGGGCCGGGCGGGAGAGCCAGGCGGGTGCGAGGCCGACGCTCTAGGCGAGCGTGGAGAGCCCCACTCCCACCTGCGCACGAAAGCTAGTCTGCCTTGGGTACAGTTTGCTCCGTGGGGATGGGTCTCTGCTTCCGCCCCGGGACCCCAATCCGGCGCGCTTGCGGGGGCGGGGCCAGGTTTGTTTTGCTCCGAGTGTGCCCAGTGATTGGAGTAGGGCCGGGCGCTCTTTTCAGGCCCAGGCTGAGGTTCAGGACCCGCCTCCAGGGCGCAGAGGTTGAGGGCGGGCAGATGCAGTAGAAACTGTTTCATTGGAAAGAGAAGTAACTCGTGGGCGGGACCGCGAGTCATAGGAGGGACCTAAGCTGCTCCTGTGGCCCTGGATATCCGACGCTGTGCCAGCGGTCACTGTGTCCTGGGCGGCCATCCCGGGGGCCTTGGGCTCTCTGGCCTGGTCCTTTCCGATGGCCCGTGGAGTAGGAGGCTCTCTGAGGTTAGGACTGGGCATTTAGGGCTCTCCTGCTCTCTTCTTGCACAAGGCGCCCTGGTGGACCTGGTCCCCACCCGTAGCCCACCGTCTTGCCCATTTCATGGGGCAGGGATGCTTGTGGACTCTTCAGTGGGAGTGCTTGGGTCTGTGTGTGGCTGGACTGGGCCTCGCCACTTACACACTTCCAGCTGCCATGTGGGAGAGGGATTTATATCACACAGTGCACTTTGGGGGTCCCAGAGCTGCTGCCCAGTCCTCAGCCCTTGAGGGTAGCTGAGGTGACAGAGGTGCCCTGCTCAGCAGGAGCCTGTCCAGGGTTCACCTCGGCCCTTTCTCGTGACCTTAGTCCCCAGGAGGGGTGGAAGGAGCACAGCTCTAACTGTTAGGACCCAGGGAGCTGACACCTATGGCCCAGACTACTTCCCTCACAGAGGCCTTTAGGCCAGTACTTCTGAGTCCCTCTGCTGGCCTCAGGACATGCCCAGGTCTCTGGTACCTGAGTCAAGGAAGGGCATTACTCCCACAGTGGCTACTCCACCCCACTTCCAACAAGCCTCCTTCTCACAATTGGTCTTGGGTAGCTGGAGCCCCCACAGTTGGCAGATATTGTCCAAGGATAGTCCTTGGCCCCACCCTGCCCTCCTTCTGACCAGAGTGGGGGTTCTGGGGGAGGGTATGGTCCTCAGCTCCTTGCCTAGGCTCTCTGACCACTCTTGGGGAATGGCTCTGCACCCATGGGTCCCCAAGGGGAGTATTATAGGCTCTGGCTCTTGACTTCAGTGAGACATAGGTGTGTCGCTGTGCTTTCCCAGGTGGTGGGTTTCTACTACTTACAGCCCAATGCTCCCAAGCTGGTGAATCCTGTGCTGGGCTTTATGGATCTGCCCCCCACCCCTGGATCTCGCCAAGTGGGTAAAGGCAGTCAGGGTTGAGCCTCTGCCTTCTCCCCTTCCTAGGCTGGATGCCACACCAGCCCCATGACTCATGGAGACAGGCAGTTGGGAAATACAGGGCAGAGGGCAGGTCCAGGTCCCAGCTGGCCAGCCCTGGCTGTCTGCTATTCTAGAGGTGGCGGCCTGCCTCTCTTTCCTTGGGGACAGGTGACAAATATCAGCTGTGGGCCAGGCCCCATCATGGGCACAGGGAGCCTACCCTCCGGGTTCAATGGAGGGGCCGTACATGGGACCCTGGGCATGGAGCCACAGAGAGAAGGTGGGTTGCTAGGCTAGGAGTGCTGGCCTCTGACCTTGGCCCTACTGTTCCAGGTGAGGCCGGGGCCAACATCATCGAGGTGTCTAAGGAGGCCCGGAAGAGGTTCCTAGGCCCCCTACACCCTTCCTTCAACCTGGTAAAAACCATTCGTGGCTGCTTGTTGAAGACCCTACCTGCTGATAGCCACGAGCGTGCCAGTGGGCGCCTGGGCATCTCTCTGACCAGAGTCTCAGATGGCGAGAATGTCATTATATCCCACTTCAACTCTAAGGATGAGCTCATCCAGGTGAGGCCTGGTAGGGCCTTGTGGGATTGTAGTGTGAACCCAAGGACCCTGCTCACCACTTTCCTGTCTGTCCCTGCCCTGAAGGCCAACGTCTGTAGCACCTTCATCCCTGTGTACTGTGGTCTCATCCCTCCCTCCCTCCAGGGGGTGGTGAGTATTCCCACCTGGCTGGCCCTGGGCACCTTTTGTGGGGTGGTGAGAACCAGCTACTGTCTAGGCTGTGGGATGAGGGAGCAAAGGAGGTGGCCCTCGGAGCCCCATCCCCCACTCCTCACTCTGCTACTGCCCCTTGCCTCACTTCCCCGGGTTACTCAAGAGGTAGGCCAGCTTCGTGGAGATGCATACTTCCTATGGTTGTCTGCCCATGCACCCCTGCCCCCACTGTCTGGCCATCTGCTCAGTGTCCAGGGTGGCCTGAAGCCAGTGCCCAGTGGGTTAAATGTTCAAATGAAATAATCACCAAGCAGGGCCGTTGTGGGCTGAGTGGGGTGGCCCTCACGCCCTGCAGGCCTCTATCACATGCCTGTGTCTGTCACGCTCAAGCGCTATGTAGACGGCGGCATTTCAGACAACTTGCCACTCTATGAGTTGAAGAACACGATCACAGTGTCCCCCTTCTCGGGCGAGAGTGATATTTGCCCACAGGACAGCTCCACCAACATCCATGAGCTCCGGGTCACCAATACCAGCATCCAGTTCAACCTGCGCAACCTCTACCGCCTGTCCAAGGCCCTCTTCCCACCTGAGCCCATGGTGAGCCCCACCTCACGTGCCCATAGCTTGCACAGCCTCTCACTGAGCTTGTGGGGAGAAAGCTGCCCCTTTGGCGTCTCCTAAGTGCCGGGGTAGGGTAGGAACATGTGTATCCCCTTCCCTTGTGCTGTGGCCTGCACAACCTCTCCAGGGGCAAACAAGCCGTCCAGCCTGGACTCTGTTCTGTATCCCAGATAGGTTGTTAGGATTTGGGGGTGAAGGAATGAAAATGGCTGTTACAGGGAAGCAAGGACTCTAAGGCGCAGATCAGGGCATGTCTGACCCCCTCCGCTCCAACATATCCACTCCCCACTGCAGGTGCTGCGAGAGATGTGCAAGCAGGGCTACAGGGACGGGCTGCGCTTCCTGCGGCGCAACGGTGCGTGGGCTCCCTTGCAGTGCGGTGCATACCAGCTTTGTCTCACTGGCCAACTGCCCTGTTCAGGCCGGCAGGAGCTAAGGCCATGCTCATGGCCTGTCCCTTCCTCACCACCCCAGGTCTCCTAAACCAGCCTAACCCCTTGCTGGCGCTGCCCCCTGCTCACCCCCATCAACCTGAGGATGAGGCTGAGGAAGAGGCTGAAGAGCAGGCCCAAGTGGAGGGTCACCTGCAGGCACCCGGGGAGGATCACATCCTGGAGCACCTACCGGCCCGGCTCAATGAGGGTGTGTACCAGGGAGAAAGGCAAAGTGGGCAGGGGGAGACCCTGGGAGAAGCTGTGACTAGAGGGTCCTGGGCTTCTGGACTAGCCACCAGCTTCCCATCTATGTCCAACCCACAGCCCTGCTAGAGGCCTGCGTGGAGCCCAAGGACCTTCTGACCACTCTCTCCAACATGCTGCCCGTTCGCTTGGCCACGGCCATGATGGTGCCCTACACTCTGCCTCTGGAGAGCGCTGTGTCCTTCACCATTCGGTGTGGGGTTATGGGGGTCAGGAGAGGGTGTGCTGGGATCCACTTGTGGTGGTCGTTCTAGGGAAGGTGGCACTGTAGGCGCAGTGTCAGGGTGGGAGTAGACGGGAGAGCTCGGCCATGGCTTCTGAGCTATCCCGTTGCCCCTGGACAGCTTGCTGGAGTGGCTGCCTGATGTGCCTGAGGACATCCGGTGGGTGAAGGAACAGACCGGCACCCTCTGCCAGTACCTGGTGATGCGCGCCAAGAGGAAGCTGGGTGGCCGCTTATCCGCCAGGTGAGCTGTCTGCCCATGTCCACTGTGGCTGGCCCCCTCAGCGACCCCCACTGAAGCCCTCCTCCCCACGCAGGCTGTCGGAGCAGGCGGAGCTGCGCCGTGCAAGGTCGCTGCCCTCAGTGCCGCTGTCTTGTGCTGCCTACAGCGAGGCCCTGCCGGGTTGGATGCGCAACAGCCTCTCCCTTCGGGACACACTGGCCCGGTGGGAGGACTACCAGCGCCAGCTGCTGCTGGGCCTCTTCTGCACCAACGTGGCCTTCCCGCCAGATGCCCTACGCATGCGCACACCCACCGCCCCCGCGGACCCTGCGCCCCCTCGCTGAGTGGCTGCAGTGGTGTCCAGGCCCCCGGGGATCGGTGGGCTGAGGATCGCCCTCAAATTTTCCTGCCCCATGAGTCAGGGCCCGGGGCTGACCAAGACCCCGATCCCAGCCCCTCTCCGCCACTCTGCGGAGTGAGGAGATAGGTCCCTTCCAGCCACAAAGAGAGGGCTTTGCTGTGACCCCGCCATTGCCACTCACTTGCAAGTGGAGTGGGGCGGGGTGCAGAGGACCCTCCTGGGCCATGGGGGCCTTCGCTATGCCTTACCCCTTCAGTGCAGTGTTATCCAGAGAACTTTGCACGCTCCTGCAATCCGTTTTCACATTTTGCTGAAGAATATGTGTGAAGATTTATTTATTTTCGCCAAAGCAGATATAATAAATGCACCGCTCAGCCTATGCTTACTTCACTTTCACATGACTCTGCTCCCCTCGTTTGGGGGTGCCTGGCAGACAGGTTGCCCCTACTCCCAGCTGACCTCACAGCAGCAGCTCAGGTCTTTGTGGGCCTGCTGGGTGCCCACCCACCCCTCTAGCTGGGACCAACTCATGCCCTTCGCTCTGACCTGAGGCCTTCTGCTGACCTTTGGGCATAGGACCAAGGTCCTTCCTAAATAAAAACTAAGATGTGAAAGGTAGGGTCTCCTTGTCCACTCCACACAGTGATATGACTGGGGCATGGCTGCTTAGGAGGCTAGAGAGCTGTGGAAGGCTCTGGAGATACCCGGAGCTGAGAGCTGTGGGCCTGGGACTGGCCTCTGCTCCACCTGGAACATTTGGTCCAAAGCTCTGTGTTCTTCTCCCATCTCTACAAGCCTCTCTGGCCCCCTCCACCTGCTGGCATACAGGAGGGGTCTGCAGTGTTGAGGCAGGTCCCAGCTGAAGGGAGAGCAACCTTGTTCTGGAGGAGAGATGGTTTCCTTGAAGCCTCTTTATGGGGAGTATGGTAGAAGCTATGAGGACAAAGCCAGGCCTCCATGGGAACAAAAAGGACCCACGGAATGTGTGGTGCCTGCACAGGCTGGGCTGGCTCCCCAGAGCTCAGCCCTGCCAGACCAAGCCCCCACCTGCCCCTCCCAGAAGGCGTGGGGCAGCTGTGATGGCAGCCCCCAGCCAACAATAACGGTTGGTTGTAGGACCTGGGACCGGGTGAGCCGGCCAGGCAGGTCCCCGGGTGAGCCTGTGCCAGGGGCCACCCCCCTCCGTTTCAAGGTCCTGTCCTATAGGCCCAACCTGTTGTGGTTCAGTGAATCCCAGGCCCCTTTTGTGAGCAGAGGCCTCCTGCCCCTGGCAGGACAGTGAAGCCAGCCCTCCAGGTGGGTGTTTGGAAGGGAGCCTTGGGAAGTGGATGTGGCCCCCTTCCCCAGCAGGGGACTGCCCTCAGGCCTCAGACAGCTCCCCTTCTAGACCTCTCCCGAGGAATTCTGGTCAGGTCTGTCCCCTAGAGGGGTGCTGTGTCACACTGGTGCTGGTAAGTTCAATACCCTTTTCTAGGATGCTGTGTATGTTTATTGTTTAAAAATAGGAAAAACTAAAATTGGGAAAGTACTGAGAGAAAGTCTACCCATCTCTGGAGGTAACCATTGACAGTATCTGGTCTATTTAGGGCTGGGGCTTAGTTGGGCTCCTCCGACAGGGGCTGCCCCTCTCCAGACACTGGTGTCAGATCCCCGCTCCCCGCACCCTTGACCCTGCTCCAGGAGGGTCCCCAGGTCTCCAAAAGACATTGCTGCCCCACTGCTAACGGGGCTCTGCTGGGGGTCGGGACTTTGTCCTCCCAGGAGGTGGGGATGCGGCGACAACAGTGCGCAGAGGATCTGCCCAGGGTCAGCTCAGTCAGGGGTCTTGGTGCCTGGAGGCAGCTGGGGCCACTCTGGGCGGGTGCCCCAGGCTTGCAGCCAGGGTCCGAGCAGGGGCGGGACGCACCGCGCGTTTCCGGGAGGAGCGGCCGGGGCGCGCGGCAGGTGCGGTGGCAGCGCAGCTCGCAGGTAGGCGCTCGTGGGTCCGGTCGCTGAGGCCCCACTGTTTGATCCGCCTGGCACCTGGCGGGCAGCTTCACCCCTCTGGGCCGCAGTGAGGGGGGTAGACCCTGCGCATCTCGGTCGGAAACACTGATTGCCCCTCCGGGCATACAGTGGCTGGGACAGGAACGAGCTTGGCCCCCAGAGGTGAGGGGAGTGCGAACGGTTCGTGGGCCCCACCCGGCCAGCCCTTCCTTTCAGCTCCCTGGGGCCAGGCTGCAGCGCAGCTTCCGGCTGGAATGGACTGTGGGTCCAGCCGGTGAGCCGCTGGTGAGGTGGCAACCCTGCCGGGTGAGGCCACAACGCGGCCTGAGGGCAATGACCTTGGTCCCTCGTATTCTCTCCTCTCATGTGCCGCTTCCTCAGACCCGTTCTCTTCGGGATCTCTCCCCTTCAAAGAATATGTGTGGGGGACAGTCCCAGGCTGCTGAGACCGGGAGGTGTCGCTGCGCTAGGGAGTAACTTCGGAAATCCGGCGTCCGGAGTTGTGGGAGCAACAGGTGGCTCTGATTAGGGGGCGGAGCGTTCTTGTGATGGGGTTGGGGAGGGAAGCCCCAGGGGGTTCTGGATTGGGGAGGGGGTAAATCTGGGGCAGGGTAAGGGCCCTAGTGGGAGAGAGAAAGGCTGTTAGGCCCAGAATCGGGTTTCCTGAAAGGGCTGTCAGAGGCTGCAGGTACTCAATGGTGATACCTTGCTTCTACACCTGGGGCCCAGTCTGGGAGAAGGGAGGAGTTTCCTCTGCCTGCCAGCTGTCAGAGGCCAGGATGCACAGACCAGGCCAGGGTCAGTCCCAAGTCCAGAGCTCCAACTCAAAGATGTGGTGGGCTCCTTCACTGGGCACTCTCACCCCTTAGCTGCCAGAGCCCACCTCCCCATCATCACAGGGTGCCCTGCAAGCAGCTCCTGAGACTGCCCCACCCCATCTTTTCCTCTTGGACTCAGCTCCCTCATGGAGCTGCAGCCTCTTCCTGGCTTCCAGCCCCCTGAGATGCCACAGCCCTAAGCCTGCATCTCCCCAGCAGTGACCCTCCAGCTCTGCCTAACCTTCTGCACACCTTCCTGCCCACCTGACTGAGCCTTCTGCCCCCTCCTCAGTACACAGCAGCTGAGACCCTCTGCTCCCATGGCCAGCCCTGGGAACTTGGGAGATGAGGGGGCCCAGGAAGACAGGGAGAAAACAGAGGGCTCTGCTGGGCCCCGGGCTGTGATGCTGGAGCAGGCCCAGGAGCTGTTTTTGCTGTGTGACAAGGAGGCCAAGGGCTTCATCACCCGGCATGACCTGCAGGTGAGTCCCTGGCCCCAAAGGACTGGCCAGGCCCAGGGTTGACCTTGGCTGCTCACCTCTGCCATCCTCCCTCGACCAGAGCCTGCAGAATGACCTGCCGCTCACGCCTGAGCAGCTAGAGGCTGTATTTGAAAGCCTGGACCAGGCCCACACTGGCTTCCTCACTGCCCGGGAGTTCTGCCTCGGCCTGGGTGAGCCTGAGCCCAGCCCACCCCAGCTGCCCAGAACCTGGAGGCCCTAGGTAGGCACCTACAGCCCTCTGTGGGGCAGCCTATGCCTCTCCAGAACCTCCCTGCAGGGCACATATAGTGTCTGTACACACAGGGGCCATTGGAGCCCCCAGCTGTTGTGGAGCATGTGGTGCTGGCTTCCGTCCACATTCCCTCTCCTGTGCCAATCCCTGTTGGGGCCAGGAGCCTGGCTGTCATCTCTCATTACCAGGCCAACAGGACCAGAATGAGGAAGAAAAACAGGAAACCGGGTCCTGAGAGAGAGCAGGATATATGTGTGTGTGGGGGGTTAAGAATGGGACCAAGACTGGGTGGTGACCAACAGCCCTGGTAATCGCTCCCTCCCATGCCCGCAGGAAAGTTTGTGGGGGTGGAGTCGGCCCAGGGCGCAACTCCCTCCCGGCCTCCGGAGGAAACCTTTGAGTCGGGCTGGTCGGCTATGCAAGGCACCGGGGGCTCCCTGGAGGAGGAGGAAGAGGAGGAGGACGAGCGATTCTACGCTGCGCTGGAGCAGCTGCGGGTGGCCCCGGTCCTGGGCGAGTGAGTAGGGGCTGGCCCTGCTGCCTGCTCCCTCTTTGGGTCTGCACGCTCCGTTTACGTTGCCCGCGCAGGGCAGCCGTCCTGTCAGCTGTGACTCCCCGGGAGAGCCTGGCGTGATTTCCCGCAGAATTTGCATTTCAGGGGGCGGCAGTCACAGTCATCGGGAGGAGGGGTGGCGCCAGGTGCCCGGCCACACACGCAGGCACAGCCCCGTGTACACACATCTCACGAGCAGTGCGCACACACCGACGCTGGGCAGGGGCGCAGGCTCCCTGGGGGGATTGCCCTGCGGGCAGCACAGCGCTTGGCTGCCTGGGGGATTGCCCTTGGAGGAGGGGAGCCAGTTTGCTTGGGCCTCAGTACCCGCCCTTCCAGACAGCGGGCTGTGAGGACGCTCTGGGTCCGGCTGCAGCGTGAACGACCAGAGCTACTAGGCCCGCTGGAGGAAGTTCTCACGCGCACTTCTGCCTGCCTGGAGGAGGCGGCCCGGGAGCGGCACGGCCTGGAGCAGGCGCTGCGGAGGTGAGGGCCGGGGGCCGGGCGGCCTGGGCCCTGGCAAGCAGTAGAGGCGGGGCTGAGGGGGTGGTCGTGCCATCGAGTCTCCGACTTTGTTGCTCTGGTCCCTCGAAGGCGCGAGAGCGAGCACGAGAGGGAGGTCCGCGGTCTGTGGGAGGAGATGGAACAACAGCTCCGCGAGCAGCGGCAGCGTCTGCGCAGTCAGGTGGGCGCTCAAGCCCCGCCCCCGCCCCTTGCCCAATCCCAGCCTCGCTTCCTCCCTGGCCCCGCCTTCTCCCAATAGGTCCCGCCCCCGCCCCGCCCTCCTGCTCCCAGCCCAGCCGGCTGCCTTCATCCCAGGGTGAACCTCCTCAGCCCCGCGCGTCACCCGCTAGGCGCCTTCTCGCTCCACCCATGGCCCCCCTACCCCGCCCAGCCCCTGCCCCTCCGTGAAGCTTCTGTGTGTGGCCGGCCGGCCGGCGGGCTCAGGTACTCCCCGTGCGCCCAGAACCGTCCCCGGGAGGAGCAGAGAGGACGCCTGGAGCTGGAGCTGCAGAGCCGCGAGCAGGACCTGGAGCGCGCCGGCCTGCGGCAGCAGGAGGTGAGCAGCTGGACCCCGAGTTCCCGGCGCCCCTGCGCTCCGAATTTCCATGAGGTCTGCCTGGATCTCCGTGTCCCCTGCTCCGGGGCGATCTCGCTAGCCTCCGTCCTTCACCCCCAGTTGGAGCAGCAGCTGCAGGCTCGGGCGGAGGAGCAGCGGGAGGCACAGGCTCAGAATGCCCAGCTGTGGCAGGCCCACGAGGCGCTGCGGGCGCAGCTGGAGGGGGCGCAGGAGCAGCTCCGCAGGCTGGAAGGCGACGCGCGTGGCCGCCGGGAGCAAACTCTACGGTGCCGGCGGGAGGGCCGAGGCGGGCCGGTGGCGTGTCCTGGGACGGGCAGGGGCTCTCTTTGGGCTCGGATCTGGGACACTTCCATCCCCAGCCCAGGTCCCAGCCCTGCCCCAGGGCCTGCTAGTGGGTCTTACTACCTGCATCCAGGTCACTATCTCCTCCCCACAGAGACGTGGTCGCCGTCTCCAGGAACATGCAAAAAGAAAAACTCAGCCTCCTAAGGCAACTGGAGCTGCTTAGGTGCGTTCAGGCTTAGGCCTGTGGGGGGAAGGGACCCGGTGGAGCTTGAGGCTCCAAGCTCCCAAACATCCTTAGGCACCACCTTCTCCCACTAGGAATCCCTTTCTTTTTTTTTTGAGACAGAGCCTCAAGCTATCCCCCTCGGTAGAGTGCCATGGCATCACAGCTCACAGCAACCTCCAACTCCTGGGCTCAAGCGAGTCTCCTGCCTCAGCCTCCCAAGTAGCTGAGACTACAGGCGCCCGCCACAACGCCTGGTTATTTTTTGGTTGCAGCCGTCATTGTTGTTTGGCGGCCTGGGCTGGGGATTCAAACCCGCCACCTTAGGTGTATGCGGCTGCCGCCTTAGCCGCTTGAGCCACAGGTGCCGAGCCAGGAATCTCTTTCTTATCTCTCCCTTCCATCCCTCATTCTGCAGTCTCAGCCAGACACTTCTCTTCTGGTCTGAGGGGAGCCAGACCTCACCTTCTCCTCCCCAAATTGCTGCCTCCTTGCATTCAGGAGATTCTCAGACTTCTTTCTTTCCTTTTTTTTTTTTTTGGTCTGGGGCTGGGTTTGAACCCGCCACCTCCAGCATATAGGGCCTGCACCCTACCTCTTTGAGCCACAGATGCTGCCCCCAATTCTCAGACTTCTTAGAGGACTCATATTCCCCCTTCCCTAGGGAACTGAACACACGGCTTCGAGATGAAAGGGACGCCTGTGAAGCCAAGAAGACGGGCAACAGGGGCAGGAAGGCTCTGACCACAGCCTGCCTACCTGGGCCCACCTGCTGCTGCTGCTGCTGCTGCTGCTACTGGGCTCACCCCCACAGACATGGCTCTGGCCCCCTTCCCAGTGCCCGGTGACCAGTCTGAATTACTCACTGGACCTTACCTGGAGAAGCTGAACCCTTGAAGGCAATGTGTAGGCTCTACCCAATGGGCCCCAGGCTTGTCTGAGAAACACAGGAAAGAACTAACCAGGTGGTCAAGGTCTTCATCCTGTCCCGTCTCAGTCCCATCAACTCTCTTTCTACTCAGGAAATAAAGTCCACTGGCCGCACTGTGTCCTCCCTGGCCTTCTCTGTGTCTGAGAGCCACAGCCTGTGTGGGGTACATGTGTGCTGTGTGAGAAGCTGTGTGTCTTGCTGGGCCCTGCAATGCTGGGCTGTGAGTCCCTGGTCATGTCCCCTGGTCTGGATCCATGAGTGTGGCTTTTCAACTGAACCCAGGTTTTACAGAACAAATCCTTTCAATAAGGGCTGGGCAATTTGAGGGCTACATGTGACCTGGAGGCAGGCTACCCCTCCAGGCTGTCACCATCCATGAAGCTGTATTCCCACCCATCTGTGTGGAACAGACGAGGGCTAGCTGGGGCCCCTTCTCTCAACCGTTGCCCTTGCCAGTCTCCCAGGCAGCCCCGGGTGGGGCACAGCCAGAGCCCACTCTCGGCCGTCAGGAGTGAGCCTGGTGGTGAGACCTGGCACTGCCTTCTGCTTCGGTTCTCGTCCAGCGGGGCAGATCTGTGCTCTGTGCTGTCCCTCGCGTCACCCGCAGTGTCCGCATGGGGACTCGACCTCCACGCTGCGCGCAAAGAAGCCCTCTCCTGGATCCGCCCTTGCCGCCACCCCCGCCCACCAAGCCGTCATCTGTTCCGCCGACTCCGGCAGCCTCCTCCGGCGGGCCCTGGGGCGATGGGAGACCATGGGCTCCCACTTTGAGGAGGCCGGGTTTGGCCAGGGTCGGGACCTCTGGGCTAGCTGCTGGCTGCGGTGCCCGTTGGATCTGCCTCCCGCCCCGGGCCTGGGTCTCGGAGGGGTTAGGCTGCCGGACTGTGGGCTGCTCCCGACTGTCGTTAGCCGGTCTCCGCAGTCCGAGATCGACCCTAGCGCCTGCATCCACCGCCTCCAGCCGACCCAGCGAGTTCAGACCCGCCCAGCGTCGGCAAGCCGGGAGGGGCGGGTCGGGTCCGGGCCTGGGGTGGGGCCTGAGGGCGGGGCGGGGCTGCGCGTTCTCTGCGCTCCGAGCCACCGCCCCCGCAGCCGCAGCCGCCGCCGCCGCCCGGTTCGGACTCCGACGTGTGGTGAGTGAGTGCGCCGCCAGGCCAGGCCAGGCCGGCCCAGGGGGGCCGAGTGCACCGGAAGCCCCGCGGGCCCCGTCCTGGGGCCCGGATCGCAGGCTCCAGGAGAGCCCAAGAGGCCGCTCCGGCCGACCTGGCCCAAACCCCTCTCAGGCCCTTCCCTGAGGGAGAAGAGCGCCCAGCGAGCGATGGGTTGAGGGGCTGGAGGGAGAAGCGCCTCCCGGGTCCTCGGACAGGCCTGGTGGCCCACGTTGACCTAGGAGCCCCATTGCGCAGCCTGAACGTCCCACTCATTGTCCCTGGACACCAGTCCCCTTCTCTCCGCCAGCAGACACGCGCAGTGCCTGGGTACAAGTGGGCGGGGGACGGCAGCGGCAGTGACTTCATCGTGGTGACCTGGGCTTCCTTCCCGAGCCTGGCAAAAGCAGAGTCCCGGGTTCCCCTGATTGGGGCGCGGGCCACCCACCGGCCTGGTGCAGGTCCAGGGGAATGGGGGTGGGGTTACAGTAGCTATTTCTGGCTGGACCTTTCCCTGGGAGTTAACATACACCAGGCATTCCTGCAAGAGGGGGGCCGCTCTTCAGGGGGTCGCTGATGTCCTGACTGTGGGTACAGGATGGGTCTCAGAAGGACCCTCAGAAGGCCTGGGGTCTCCGAGCCCGGCCTAGGGCATATCTGTGAGTGGGTGAGGCTCAGTGATGGGGGTCTGCTGTGTCCCTGAGTGCTGGAGCCTGTTCTGGCCCTGGCTGAGTCATGGAGGGTAGTAGTCCCCCCCAGTTCTGTGGTGAAGGTCTCTGTGTTTCTTCTTTTGGGGGGAGGCGGTGAACAGTCACTTTGTTGCCCTGGGTAGAGTGGTATGGCATCATAGCTCACAGCAGCCTCAGAGTTCTGGGCTCAAGCAATCCTCTTACCTCATCCTCCAGAGTAGCTGGGACTACAGGCGCCAGCCACAGTGCCCATCCATTTTTAGAGATGGGGTCTTGCTCTTGCTCAGACAGGTTTTTT